CTAAAGTGAAAATCTCTCCAAAAAAAAAAAAAAGAAAAAAAGAAAAAAAAAGGGGGGGATGATGTCTATCATAGCTATGTAAAAGTTAAGAGAATATTTCTTTATTTCTTTCTTTTTTAGGTTTTTGCCATAGGGTAAATGCCAGAGAGAAATAGTGAAAGGGAAAGTGAGAAATCACCCTTGGGAGGATGGCCATGCCACAGTCCCTTCTCCATTCTACTCCTGGGATTTTTGAGTACATATATGCACACACACGCCCAGTGATTTTCAAGCTGCTAGGTCCAAGATTTGGACCATGGCTGGGCATGTGGAAGTCCAGCACCTTAACCACTACACCACCTGCTGGCCCTGAGAATTTTTCTTAAAGCCTCCAGATACCATTTGAATTCTGCTTTGAAAGGGTATGTCATTTTAAGACAAGCTCAAATAGAATTTTAAAAGATTAGTTTTTGATGCTTCATTATGTATGTCATTGAGAGTATATCAGGAATTATTTACTTTAGGGTCCCCATAGTCTCACTGCATTCAGGATTCTGAATGTGCATGGTATTTTCAACATGTTGGGAACTATTGGGTCGTCAGAAAAGTCATAACATATTTTTTCTATGTAAAAATGTGTCATGACTTTTCTGACGACCCAATATATTATAACTTATTTATAATTCATGAAGTTCCAATAGAGAAGAACATTTATGGTAGAAAAATAAAACTTAATCTTGAAAATGTGGTTAATTTATGAATATAAATACTATCTTTACAAAATAACAAATTAATTATAATGTAATTTTAGAATGCTTTTGTCTGTGGAAGGAGTAAAGTCAGAAATTTTCATTTGCTTATTTTTACAGAATTCCATGGTACTAACCAAGATGTTGGCTGCTTTAGGACAGGCGCCCTTCATAAAAACACTTCTGAAGCAAAAAACTTATTTTCCGACTGATGACATAGTACAAGGGTATTTAATTTTAAAATTTCAAATATACAGTTTAGTTTTAAAGTTCAGAAAAATTATTAGATACTTAATATGTTGTAAAACCCTAGTGAAATTTTATGTAATGTATTTAATATATAATTTTCAAATACCTTCTTTTCTGATATGCAAAAATATTATGATACACAGAACTATTAATAATTGCCAACTCAGAAAATGCCATTCAGACTCTTGGATTATAATGTCACAATTTGTGTTGCAACCTAACTTTTAATTCAAGAACCTCATTTGGGATGATAGCAAATCACATCAGTGTCTTAGACTGTTTCCTGCTGGTTTGTAAAAGTGAGCCACACAGTGTGCAACACATGTCACAGTAATTACCACCACCCATATACATACACACACATCACAAACTGTACCTGAGCAATAGCATCTGTTACTATTGCAATTATTACAGTAGGTTACCACAGGTGGATGAGGGTGATACAATTACCCTATGTTTATGGTAAGCTGCTTATACTAAAAGATACACTTCCTGCCTTTAATGACCTTACAATTATCAGAGACAAACAAAGAGATATTATGACAGAGGTCATTTCAGAGTACAGTGGAACAAAGAAGGTGCATAACTTAGGCCCAGAAGAGAGGGAGTGGGTAGGGACTTTCCTAAAGAGGTAACATATTGTATTACGGAAAGATATATAAAAGCCAGTCTGAGAGAATTCCAAGCAGAAGAGATGATGTATGTCCATATCTTTAAACTGAGACCTGAGAAAATGCACACATTTTAGAAGATGCAAAAAAAGTTTAATTCATTGCTGGTGTAAGGAGTATCATTCATGGAGATAGAATATTTTTGAAACCATTCTCATAATTGGAGCTAACATTCCTCCTGATTTTACAAAACTTGTGAAGTAGTGAGGTAGGAAAATTAGTCACCATAAATTAAGAGAAAGTTGCTTCTGGGAGGATTAGAAAGATAAGGGTAGTTCCTGGAACAGGTTGGTTTCAGTACCTATAAGGGGGGTTATTGCTAAATGACACCAGAGGCTGAACAGAACACCTTCAGATTTAAAGGACACATTCATCAGATCATATACCAATTTAATGGCGACCTGTTTTGTTTTTGTTTTTTTTCAGTTCAATTAAAAAATTTTTTTTGTTTTTAAATTCATTTACTAAACATTATCACAGCATACAAAATGTGATTTCCCATTCAGAATATACTGCATAGTGGCTTAATCATACATGTTATCATCAATAATTTTCCATTTCTAGTTTCATATATATTTATATATTTTCCCCCTGTTTCTCACCTCTGTCTTTTTCTACCCTCCTCCCACACTATCTCAGGTGTCTATAGTTGTTTTCCATTCCTTCCCCCGCCCCCCACATTTTGTTGATTCACAAAATTTCTTAAATAATCTAACTACTTTTAATAGCAAGCTCAGCTAATATATACATATCTATGAAAACATGTCAGACTTTATGCATGAAACTCTTAGTAGAATGAATATATTATAAGTTAGCACCTAGCTGATGCTGTGTAGCTTACTATGGTCATTAATTTTGTATTTTTTACTATATTTTTTAATTTCAAGAAAAGCAGTTTTAGCTTTTAATAAATCAAAGAAATGCTAGGGAACTATGCTTAAAACTTAAAGCTGAGATACAGGTTGGGATTCTGTTCAAATAGTAGGTACATGAATCTATCAGCAGCTCAAAACAGGACAAAAATCCTTAAAACCAGAAAACAAAGCCTTGAAGAAAATCAGCAATGTTTTATTTAAAAGTCATAAAATTCTATTTCACCAGTTTAGTCTCATGGACTTAATCTATTTTCTGTTGTGGTTTGATATTCCCAATTAAATTCTGGGATATACTATTCAACTCCAGACTTGTCCCCACAATTAAGTTGGCCACTTTCTTAGTTTTTGAACTCTTATTTCTATGTGACTGTATTTAATTTTCCTGGCATAGCACTCCCTTTAGAACTTCCTGGACATCTAGTCTGGTGTTGGTAAATTCTTTCAGGTTTTGTTTATCTGAGAATGTTCTTGTCTTTTCTTCCCATATGAAGGATAATCTTGCCAGGTACAGTATTCTTGGATGAAATTGCTTTTCCCTTAACACTTTGAATAGATTTTCCTACTCTTTCCTTACTCACATTGTTTCTGATGAGAGGTCCGCTGTCAGTCATATGGGATATCCTTTGTAGGTAACTTGACGTTTCTCTCTTGCCAATCTTAGTATCTTGTCTTTGGCTGTGGTTTTGGTCAATCTGGCTGTAATGTGTCTTGGAGAAGATCTCCTTGGGTTGATTCTATTGGGGGTCCTTTGTATTTCTTGGGACTGGATCTTCGAATGCCTCTCTAAGTTTGGAAAGTTTTCTTGCAGGATTTCATGGAATAGATTATCAACGCCCTTATGAGTCTCTTCACTTTCTGGGATCCCAATTATCTGGATGTTTGGACGTTTCATGGTATCTGGTATTTCTCGTATATTCTCATTTTGGGGGGCAATTTTCTTAGTCTTAGTGGTGGGTTTTTCTAGGCCAGCCATTTTGTCTGTCTTCTACATCTGAGATTCCATTTTTGGTATGATCTAGTCTGATTTTAGTACTTTCGAGAGACGTTTTGACTTTCTGTATTATAGCCTTCATCTCTAACAAGTCCATTTGATTCTTTTTTGTAGTGCAAATTTCCTCTTTTAGATCTTCTAAGAATTTCCTCACCTCCTGAAGCTCATCAGCTCCTTTCCCCTGCCTCTTCAGCAGTTCATTGTCTCTCTTCTCTTTGATCTCTTTGAGCTTTGTAGCCATGAAAATTCTAAATTCTTTAACAGACATTTCCATGAATTTTATTGTACTGTCTAAGGATGAAGAAGAGTTACTATTTTTCCTTGAAGGAGAGGTATTTTCTTGTTTTTCCATATTTCTTGTGCTCCTGCAGTGATTTCTAGTCCTCTGATGAATGGTGCATTTTTTCCTAATCTTGAAGGTCAATCTGAGTGTTCAGTGGCGTGCAGGACGAGGTGATCTGCAATCTCTCTCTGTTCTGTTTTCACTCTTTGTGCATCAGAATCAGTGGGAATAGAGGAATATTCTGACCTTACTGGTATTCAGATGTTTAGATCCTATTCACTTAGACCTGTCTAGACACTTAATGTGTAGAGGCTGAAAAGCCTATGAGTAAAGATAAAGAAAAAGAATTAGAGAAAAGGAAAGAAAATATTTTTAAAAAGAAGTAACAGAAAAGATAATAAAAACCTTTAGATTTTAATTTTAAAAAGCAAAAGTTGAAAACCGTGCCACATGAAAGCAATATTTCATAGCTGAAGTTCTGGATCCATGTGGAAATGGGCCTGGGTTTGTGCCTTTCCTAACTAGAATGCGGAGAGGCACCTATCAGCATAATAAAGGGGCTTGAGAGCCCAGAGAATGCTTTATCTTAAAATTGTTAAAAAAAAAAAAAAATTAAAGATACAGGGAGACACAGAGAGATGGATATAGACACAGAGAAATGGAGAGAAAGAAACAGGTAACACTACCCACTAGAAATGAGTGAGGAAGATGTTTCAGCAGAAAATCATTAAGTCTCTGAAAGCAACATTTCACAGCTGAAGTTCAGGATCCATGTGAAGAAGGGCCTGGGATTATGCCTTTCTTGAAATGGGTGAGAGAGACGTCTCGCAGGAAATCTTCATTTTAAGTCTCTGAAAGCAGTATTTCACATTGAAGTTAAGAATCCATGTGGGCCAGATGTTTTTAGTTTTTTCTTTTTCTTTTTGGAGAGGTTTTTTCTATAGGGTACGTGTGCTTGCCAGAAACACACACAGAGAGACTGAGAGACAGAAAGCCAGAAATCACACACACACCCAGGGGATGGCCATACCACAATCCCTTCTCCTCCATTACTCTTGGAATTCTGGGCATGCACACATATGCCGTGGCGTGAGTTTAAGCTACCGAGTCCAGTATTCGAACCACAGTTGACTACATGGGAGTCCAGCAACATAGCCATTACACCAACTGTTGGTCTCCAAATGCTTTTAGTTTTTAATGAAGCCCAGTTAATCTAATTTTCCTTTGGTCCCTTGTACTTTTGTTGTCATGTCAGAAAAATCATTGCCAAATCCAAAGTCATAAAAGATTTACCACAAAGTTTTACCAAAATGTTTTCATCTCAGTCCTATACTTTTAGCTTTTAAGTTTAGATATTTGATCTACTTTTAATCAATTTTTAAAAAAATTTTTTATTTACCAGCAGGCACATGCACTTTCCAGAGAGAGAGGAAGTGGGAGATAGCACCTCCAATGCAGTAAAGTCATACCGCAATGACCTCTCCTCCATTTCTCCATCCTGTCAGAATTTTAGACGCATACACACAAATACTCAATTGTGTTTTTCAAGACACTGGGACCAGGATTCAAACCAGTCAGCTATGTAGAATCTGACTCCTTTACCTTTAGACCATTACGCCAGCCCCTTAGGTGATTTTTATTATTATTATTATTTTAATGGGAAAGAAAGAGAGAGGTATTTTTGGCAGTGTGCCTTCATGATTTGTGATCCTCCTGCTCCAGTTAGCTAAGGTTACAGGTGAACACCACTGTGCCTGGCCTATTTAGGGCAGGCTAGGAATCAAACACACATGTATTTTGAATCCATTTTTGTGGTGTGAGATAGGGGTCCAAATTAATTGTTTCACATCTGGAGATGTAGTGTCCCGGCAGAATTTGTTGAAAAGACTATTGTTTCCCCTTTGAATTGCTTCAGCACTTTTGTTGAAAGTCAATTTATAGTGAATATAACAGCGTATTTCTGGATTTTTCAATTCTTTCATTGCCCTCTATGTTTAGCCTTATGTCAGCACCACATTGTCTTGATTACTGCACCTCAATAGTAAGATTAAAAATTAAAAGATATTAGTTCTCCAACTTTGTTATTCTTTGTATTTTCCCTTTTAAAAAAAAAAATTAGAGTAATTTCTTGCTATAAGGCACATGTGCTTGCTGGAGA